TTTGAAGAATTTGATATCAATTGTTAGAGAGATATCTTTTGCATTTAGAACACATGCATAAATGTTGAAATTTAGGTCAAAAATTTAAAATTTGTATAATCAAAACATTTGAAAAGTTGATATCGATTGCATTGAAAATCAATTTTGACCAAAATTCATTATGATGAACTAAAAAATATGAAAAATCATTAAAACTTTTTTTTTTGAGAAATTATTAAAATTATGAAAAATCATTAAAACTTTAAAATATTCATCATAAGCACTTTTTAACACACATGAAATTAAAAAAAAATGCATAATCATTTAAAATCAAAACTCATGCATGCATAAACTAAATGAGCAACCAAAAAACCAAAATAAAAGCATTAAGCATAAAGGTTACACATTCCTTTTTCAAGTGTGGCTAGAGCATTTGAATATCATCACTTTCATCACCATTTCTCTCACACACCTACAAGAGACATTTATTTGGATTTTGGTATCCAAATTGCTTTAGATCCTTGGACATTAGTTTCAATGCCCTTGTTCCATTGGGAACCCATATTTGTCTAATTTTAAAATGTTTTCCTTTCTTCAAAGGACAAATATGTTCCAAATGACCATGAAAATGACAAAGTGAACATTTTTCCATTTTTAAAAATAATAAGTTGTTTTTATAAATTATTTCTTTTTCTTTTGTTAAGCTATCAAACTTCACTTTTAAATCAAAATTTTCTTTTTCTAAATCATTGATTTTGACTTCTGAAAGCTCTAAATCATTTTTCAAATTTTCATTTTGATTTCAAAATCAACTTTTTCTTTCAAAACCAAATCATTTTCAACTTTAAGTTTTGAAATTAATTTCTTATATTTGGAATTCATGGTCTCAAATCTCAAATACAACTCATTATAAGCATCTTGTAACTCATCAAAAGAATGTAAATTTAATTCATTTGAGTTAGAAGAAACTATTGAATCTTCTCCGATGGCCATGAGGCATAGGTTGGCTACTTCATCTTCATTATTGGAGTTATCTTCATCACTCCAAGCTGCCACAAATGCCTTTTTCTTTATTGATCCCTTCTTATTTAGGAGAGGACATTCATACTTGACATGGCCCGTTCTTTGACAATTAAAGCACACCGGGGGACTCTTCTTCTTGGCCGATTCATGCTTCACTTCATTGGAAGTCGTGAATTTCTTAAACTTTTTGAAGAGCTTGGCTATCTCTTCTTCATCTTCATCGTCTCATTATCTTCATCCACCTTTTCATTTGAATCTTGATAGCTCGCATTGGTGGAATTGAAGGTAATACCTACCTCTTTCTTCTTCTTGTTTTGTTTCTCTTCATCTTCTTCCTCTTCCTTTACCATCAACTCATGAGTGAAAAGAGAGCCAATCAGCTCATCGAGAGTAAAAGACTTTAGATTCTTAGCCTCAATGATCGTCGTCTTCTTCGATTGCCAAGACTTTAGAAGAGAGTATATCATCTTCCTCACAAGCTTCTCATTAGGGATTACCTCTCCAAATCCATTTAGATTGTTGAAAATCACATAAAATATATTTGTCATTACTTTGATGTCTTCATCGGGTTTCATCTTGAAATTTTCGTAGCTATTGTTGAGAAGACTTATATTTGTTTCTCTCACTTCATCGGTTCCTTCATGAGTGACTTGGAGCTTATTTCATACATCCTTAGCATTGGAACAAGAAGAGACTCTTCCATATTCATCCGAGCCTAATACACAAAAGAGGATGTGCATAGCCTTAACATTGAGTTAAAACTTCTTCTTCTTTAATCCAGTCATCCATCTCACCGGGTAGAGTGGAGTAACCCTTCATAATTGAGTTCCAAGCTCCTAGATCGTTGGCTTGAATGAAGAGCATCATCATATTCTTTCAATAGGCATAATTTGCTCCATTGAAGTAAGGTGACTTGTTAACCAGTTGAGAATCTTCCATGTAATAAGCACTAGAAGTTGAAGCCATCTCTTTGTCGGTTGCGTCAGAAATCAGTAGAACTTCTTCGAGGATTGTCTCAAGAATGTAAAGCCTTTTAACAAGTCAAGCTCTGATACCAATTGTTAGGATTTGCGGAAGCAAGGAGAGTAAAAGATAGAGAAATTTGGTACAAGGATTTATAGTAGTTCAACTTATCAACCAAGTCTACTTCCACTACCTAAGCTCCTCACTTAGGATTTTCCAACAAATTCACTAATTTATTCTTTCTTTTTCAAAGATCAAGAGATAACCTTTACACTCCCTATATTTTCACTTGGCTAAGATAGAACCAATCACCTTTTACAAAAGGTAAAAGAAATAAATAATAAAATCTCTCAAGATGTTTACAAATTTAGCTCACTAAAATACTTAATATTTACAAGAGAGATAAAATAAGATTGGAAAACTCTTCTCTTGTGTTTGAATGATTGGAAAGGTGGTCTAACCCTTCTTCAAGTGTCTTGAATTTGTATTTATATGTTGGAATGAAGTTTTAGCCGTTTCTAGCCGTTGGGGATGATTTCTAACCGTTTGAGAATGAAATCTCTGCAAAATAAAACTAACAAGTATAGAGGGCATCGATACTCCTAAAGGGAGTATCAATAATATCTTTGCTATTTTTAAATCAATTAGCTGTTACTGGTCGTTGAGGCCTGATGGTATCGATATTATGCCTATGATATCAATACTACTATACAAAGTAGTATCGATACTCTTTTGGGTAGTAGTACCATTTTTCTGGAATTTAAACAATGTTGGTAGTATCAATACTACCTAGTGTGTATCGCTACTTTCCTTACCTTGGTATTGGTATCATATGAACATTATCAATATTGTTCATAAGGTATCGATACTGTAAGAACAATATCGATACTACTTGTCTGGAAAAACATTTTTTTCTCAATTCCAAGTTAAATGGACTTTGAATTATTTTTGAAAACTTTGAAAAAACTTCGAATAAATTCAATTCAAGTCCAAATTTTTTTGCCTTAATTGTTATATCAAAATATAGTTCAACAGGTACAGATACTCAAAGGGGTACTGATACTAATTTACACAGTAGTATCGATACCATGATCATATTATTGATACTGGTCAAGCCCAACGGTCTTTAACAGCTAGTTGATTTAAAAATTATAAAGGTAGTACTGATACTACCGATACTCATTAAAGGAGTATCGATACTTACTGTCTTGGGCAATTTTATTTTGTAGAAAATTTATCCCCAACGGCTCCAAATCATCCCCAGTGTCTAGAAACGACCATAAACTCATTCGAACTTATAAAAACAAGTTGAGGACACTTGAAGAAATGTGAGAGCACCTATCCAAGCAATCAAACACAAGAGAATAGTTTTTCATTCTTATTTTCCTTCTTTTGTAAATATTTTTGTTCTTGTAAGCTTAATCTTGTAAACACCTACCTTTTAAAGGTTTTCTTGTTTACATCTTTTTACCTTTTGTAAAATGAGAGTGGTTCTATCTTAGTCATTGAAAATATAGGGATTCGTAAATGTTATCTCCTTATCATGTGAAAAAGAAAGAATAAAATAATGAATTTGTTAGAAAATACTTAATGAAGAGTTAAAGTAGTGGATGTAGACTTGCTTGAGAAGTCGAAATACTATAAATCCTTGTGCATCAATTTTCTCCTTCTTAAAGCTCCTTAATTCCTAATTTTTTTAATCCACTTTTATCCCTCTTGACAAATCATTCGGTTGATCATTGAGCTTTATCGAATATCCCAACAACTACCAACTATGGACATATCCATTTATTGTCATCAACACAAATATATATTTAAATCAAGACCAACATTTATTTTAGGAGACCAAAGTTGGAGTATTAAAGACTGCTTGTAAGAGAGGGTTATGTGTGAAGGGATGGGAGGGGGAGTAAAATCAGTAAAAAGTTAGATTTGCCTTGTAAGTCGAGCAAAAAACATGGGTGAGCATCAAATGCAAGGCCTCTCTACTAGATTCCGAAGAAGAAAAAGAAGGGTCCAAAATAGAAAATGGTGGTGCTGGGGAACTTGACATTTGACCGAATGATTGATGATATGAATGAAAGATTGATGACATTGATAAACACTGAGATGTATGTATATATCTATGCATGCATGCACGGGTGATGAGAAATTGCATACACATAGTGGAAGAACGTTGCGCGTTGGGGTTGCGTATTATTGAAGAAAGATAAATATGAAATAATTTTGGAGACGACATTGGGAGTTCCTAGGTAGATATGATTCCCCATATTTGGTAGGAATTTATGTAAATGGAAAATATTCAATTAAGTCGAATTAATTTTTTTTTGAGAATATTAATTTTAAAAAAGTTATGGAAAAGTGTTTTTTATAAGTGATTTTTGGTTAAGATTGAGTTGACAAGTCTTATTTTATAACTTAAATTTCATTTGATTTTTTTAAAGTCATAGTTTTATAAAATTTCAACTGAATTATTCGAGTTTACATTGAAATAATTGTAAATATTGGTGTTTATTGTACTATTTAATTCTAATTTAAATGATTTTCTATAACCTCATATGATATATACATATATTTCTTCATATTTTTTCATATGTAATATACATATATCATGTAAAGCTAATGAATTTGACTCAAACTTAAAAATCATTTTATTAATTACCAAAATTTCAATTTATATTTTATAACTCAACCGAATTAAAAAAAAATCAAATCAAATCGAGTTTATAACTGATTGAACAGATAATCAAAGTTTGAAACTAAAGTTTAAACGATTTCGAATTATTTATTCAAACCTATTTTGATCTCAAATCATTTTGAGTTCAAATAAATTTATATTTAGATAATTTTGAATTCCGATTGAACGTGTTTATATTGATCGAATTCTATGATTAAATTGAATTAGATTAGACTCGGATTAATCTTATCAGAATTTCAAAGTTAAAATTGAAATGTCTAGAAATATTAATTACTCGACAAAAATTTACTATTGAAGGAAATTTTGTAATTGAAAGAAAAAAATAGTAAAATGGAGTTGACTCAGGATGGATGATTTATGGATATGGAGTTATTTCTACAGTATGGACCAACTTCGTCCTACTATACAGATGACTATGACAGTCATTTTACCTTCTCGACGACTTTGCATGATTTTTTTTTTATTTTAAGGAAACTCGTTGCTCCTCGGAAATCATTGGGACTACACGACGAGTCCCCTTTAATTTTAAAAATTTATTCGGGGAAACTCGTCAGAAATGTACAAGTTCCCTTTAAATTGAAAAAAGGTAACGCACAATCGCCGAGAAGGTAGAACGACTCCTTAATCATCTGGATTGCATGACGACTTCAATGAACATTGTAGAAACAACCCCAGATCCTTAAATAGTCCCGAACCATCCCTATTTTACTGTTAAACAGGGGCATTGAAAAATCCCATGTTCACCAAGTAACAAAAAGTTCATAAACCTCATAGTTCAAAGCCTCAAACTGGATGTTCCCTCACGTATCAATCTTCTTCCTCTCCCTCATTTTCAGCAATGTTGAAGTACCTTAATTCGTAAACAGTTCGATCTTTGTTGGACGCAATCACTCGGAGCCAATCCCTTACATTATGTTTCTTCAAGTATTTTTTTGTTAAGTACTTCAGATACCTAGACAAAAAATTGGAGAAACTGGATCAGTGCATGAACACATCCCACCACAATGCCAGATAGTCCTACTTGTATCACAAACTACGAGCAACACAACGTAGAAAAATGCCGGTTGAAGAGTTCATAAGCAAATGAAAATAATGAAAAAAAAAACTAATACCTACCGTGAAACGAAGATCAACCACGCATGCCAACACTAGGGTCATTACTCGGAGCTCGAAGTAAAGAATGATACCATAAGAGAAGGTTATCAGAACCAACCTCCATTTGAAGGTTAACCAAGTATCTTCCTCAACATTTTATATTCATAATATGCTGATAAGGAATATGTCTGATCTAGTTCTACTCAAATTCATTATATAAAATACAAGTTATCCGAGTTATCGGTCGGATATGGAAGCAAATAATGCTACCATAACCGCAGACGATAAAAACTGACCTCAATTTGAAGCAAGCCGAAAAGGTTACTTGAGTATCTTCCTCAATGTTTTCTAAGTACCCATACTACAAGAAAGCTTATGATACAAAGACACACTCATGCAAGCAGAAAAGTACAATCTTATCCTAACACAAATGGAGCAATCTCTTATCATTTTACCTCTTGGAGAAATCGCCGTCAGAAGTGACAGTAACTTTGCTCTTATCACGGGTGATTGTTACGGTTTCACCGAGTGCACCGGCCTTGCATCCAACCTTAATTCTCTCTTGGAGAAACTTTTCCAGTGAGGTAATGACCATGATTTTATCCTCCACTGGCTTCGAACAATCGATAGTGAAGGCAACTCCCTTCTTCTTCCCCTTCGACCCTGCCATACTACCTCGACTCATGTTCAGTTTATCCTATGTCAATCATCCAACACAAAGATTAAAAACAATCAAATTTACTAAATTCCAATCACCACAACAAAGTTAAGGCTAAATTTTCCCTCATTTTCTCGACAAGCAAACACATATAAACATATATGTATCCTCTTCCAATCAGCTCAAACGAAAACATCAAATCAACCACTCAATGGCATATACATTATTGGGTCACTGTGACAAATGCATGAACTAAATTACACCATGAAAGCATAGGAATCGTTTCACTAATAAAAGAGCTAAAAACAAAAGGTAAAACTTTTTTATTAGCAAATGTAATTTTCTTTTTTTTTTCTCCAGATATTCTATTAAAAGTTCCTTAATTTCTCACAAAGCAACACGCATAATTAGCCAAACCTTATTTTTAATGGGAAAAGAGAGTTACCCGTGAAAAATGCTTTGAAGCTATGGAGAAAGGCGGCAACCAATAAGAAGAAGAAGAAAAAGAAGATTAGGGATTTTAAGGCATTTATCTGTGCATGCTCTGCTTATGAACTAGTGCGACAGCGGTGCTTCATTTGCTGTGTACAAAGTAATGGCGATCAACGGTGACGATTTACTGAATTATTAATGTCGACTCAAAATGTCAATTTTTTTTTAAGATTTAGCTGCCAAATTGGTATTTTTCCAAGTTGATATCTTATTTATTTTAAAAGTGGAATTATGGATTACAAAGATTTGGGTTGGATCAGGTTGGATTTTTAGTTAATTCGACCTAATCTGAAAATATATATCCTCCATCTAAAGCTGATCTAATTCGAAAATGTACATTCTCCACCCGACTTGACCTGACCCAAAAAATATATATCCTCAATCTGATCTTGATTTAATCTAAATTTTTATAGTATAAATCTAACCCGATGCAACCCGACCCGATATGAAATAAGGACTTGATTAAAAAAATAGAGAGAGGAGTATTATAGTAATTATTCATAAATTTATTTGAAAAAATTATACTATTACTATCGATTTTATATTAAATTATCATCCCTAAGTGGAATCTAAAGTTTATTTTTTATATGACAGTCATTAATAAACTATAATTAATGATATAATTTTTTTTGAATATATAATACTCGTTAGTTTTATTAAAAAATTATTTAAAATTATGAAGAGAAACTATAAAAATAATGTTGAAAATATTTTTGTGTTTCGATATAACAAATTAAGTTTAAATGAATTTTAAGATTTTACAAATGATTTTATAAGTATATTCGACACAATTATTCAAATATCAAATCAATTTCTCCAAGTCTTTTCAAGATCAAATTCAAACCTTACTAAATGTGTAAAATTGTGTTTTATACTTCATATATTTGTTAAACAATTTTCACAAAGTATTTTGAACCAAAATCAAGCCTAAAATCAATTTTTCAGAGTGGTGCACCGATGCACCAATCCATGCATCGATGCACCATGAATTAAATTGAACATCGAATGCATTTCATGCATCGATGCAATACCATGCATCGATGCACTGAGGATTTTATGAAAACATCGAATGCATTTGATGTATCAATGCACCAGTCATGCATTGATGCACTCTGGCTATTTTGAAACATCGAATGCACTTGATGCATCGATGCACTCTTAGTGCACCGATGCACTAAGGGTCTAACGGTCAAAATATTTGAATTTTACACTGATACACCGATGCACCATGGGTATGCATCGATGCACTGACGATCCCAACTTCTTTAGTTAATTGTTTTCACACTTAAACGGCTCTATTGACTCCACTGAGCATCCCCAACGTTCAGAATCATTTGAAGGTGTATTTAAACAAGCTTAGAAGCCATTGATCAACAACAAGAAATAACAATCAACAAGAATCAAGAGAGAATCAAAGAGAAATAATCAAACCTCATGTTTGAGCATTTCAAGCCTATTTTTCATTCAATATTCATTTTGCTTTCAAGAACACTACTTGTACTCAATTGTATTCATTTTTTAGTGTTCTTTTCTTTGTTCTAGAATTGTGCAAACAATGTACCTTGTGAGGATTTTCTTGTAAGTTTGCAAATTTGTAATCTTCTATTTGAGAAAGAGTGTTCTCAAGAATTGGGGTATATTCTTGAGGGAGTTGTAAGGTTATCTCTTTGGCCTCAAAAGAAAGAACAAATTAGTGAATTTGTTGGAAAATCCTTAGTGTGGATAGCTAAGGTAGTGGACGTAAACTTTGATTAAGAAAGTCGAACCACTCTAAATCGTTGTGCAATTACTTTTAATTTTCTGCAAAAGCTTCCCCCAAAATTTTAATTGCCAATTCACCCCCTCTTGGCTGATTCCGTCGATCGATTAACTTAACAATTGGTATCAGAGTCTCACTCATTTGAAGGTTTAATCGCCACTTGAGTCGATTCGGGAAGAGTTACATCGATTGTCAAGTCATCAATGGCCACTACTTCAAATGTCGACTCCGGTCTCGATTCGATGCCCGTCAACAAGCCTCATTTCTTCAATGGAGCTAACTATGCCTATTGGAAGAATAGGATGCTGTATTTCATTCAGGCAAGTGACATGGGAGCATGGAATGTTGTAGAAGACATATATATAAAGCCTCTCACTTATCCAAGATTGTGGAGCGAATGAGAGACAAAATTGTTCCAGCTCAATCCAAAGCCATCCATATCATATTTTGTGTTCTTGGACCAGATGAATATGGTAGAGTTTCATCTTGTACAATCGCCAAAGAAATATGGGATAAACTATAAGTCACTCATGAAGGCACCGACGAGGTAAAATAATCTAAAATTAGTCTTCTAACACATAGCTATGAAATTTCAGGATGAAACCAAATGAAGATATCAAAGCTATGATGGATAGATTCTCAACGATTGTTAATGGTCTCAAATCATATGGAGAGATCATTCTAAAAAAAAAGCTTGTGAGGAAGTTAGTTTACTTACTTCCAAAATCATGGCAATCCAAGAAGACTGTAATCATCGAGGCTAAGAACCTAAAGTCTTTAACTCTCGAAGAGCTAATCAGTTCCCTCCTCACTCATGAAATGATGCTTGAAGATGAGGTGGACCTCGATAAGATTGACGAGACACCAAGGGAGAAGGAGAAGAAGAAAAATATTGGACTTGCTCTCAAATCCACAAAAGATGAGAGTGATTTGGATAAGATGACAATGACGAGGAAATGGCATTGTTTGCCAAACGGTTCAGAAAAATGATGAGACCTTACCGAGAAAAAAAATTCAAACGAAATGAAGGCCTCAAAAATGAATCAAAAGAGAAGACCCTATCATTTGCTATGAATGCAAAAAACTGGGGCATGTCAAATATGATTGCCCATAATTGAAAAGAAAGGGTCAATCAAAGAATAAGCACAAGGCTCATATGGCTACATGGAGCGATGAAGAGGGTTCTGATGAAGAGGAACAAGAAATAGCAAACTTGTGCTTGATGGCATTCGGGGAAGATTCTAAGGTAACCTCTAACTCCTCAGAATTTGATGATTTATCTTATGATGAGCTATTAGAGGAATATAATGGGTTGGCTTCGGATTATGAGAAATTGTTTTAAAAATATAAAAATGATGTTTCAAAATTGAAAAATGAAAATAAACTCATATCCAAAACCAAAAACGATATTGAAAGTAAAATCAAAGATTTACATATCAAACTAGAAGAGTTTGAAAAGAAAAATATGGATTTGCAAAATTTACTTTCAAAGGTCAATGATGATCATCAAAAAAAATTGATGATCTTAAAGCTTCTTTTGATAAAGTTGGAACAAAACATTTTGAAAATGGAGAAAATTCAAAATCCAACTTTGTTAGAAAAAGTTTTAAAAACTACAATCATAGAGGTCCCCGAAGAACTTCTAAAGGAAAAATCGTTAGAAGTATATGGGTTCCTAAATGACTCATTACTGCTAAAGATAAAGATATCATACACAAATGGATACCTAAGGGGACTAGGATTTTGGAAACTAATGAATATGGACCCAAAAGAATTTGGGTACCAAAAATTAGAAATTAATATATGTTTGTAGGAAAAGGAGAATTGCTACAAGGCACGAGAAACAAATTCAAACTCATGGTACCTTGATAGTGGATGCTCAAGACACATGACCGGAGACAAAAGCCGGTTCATAGAGCTTAACGCCAAAAATGGAGGAGAAGTGACTTTTGGTGATAATTCAAAATGTCACATCGAAGGTATAGGTACCATAGGTAATACCTCTTCCATACAAATTAAAAATGTTTTATATGTGAATGGATTAAAGCATAATCTCTTAAGTATTAGTCAATTATGTGATAAAGGATTCAATGTCATGTTTGAAACTAATGGTTGTAATTTTATTGACATTGCATCTAATCGGATTATGCTTGTTGGTCATAGAATAGGAAACATATACATGGTGCATTTAGACTCTATTGATATGACTAATTTATGCCTAGTTGCTAAGGATGAGCATGATAGTTGGTTATGGCATAGGAGACTAGGACATGCTAGTATGAGTGTTTTGCAACGGCTAATTCAAGGAAATTTAGTTCGAGGGTTGCCTAAGCTTAAATTTGATAATGATAAAATCTGTGATGCTTGTGCTAAAGGAAAACAAAAGCGAATTTCTTTTAAATCCATTAATGATGTATTAACTAGTAGAGTATTACAATTGATCCATATAGATCTTTTTGGGCCAACTAGGACTACTAGCTTGGGTGGAAAACAATATGTATTTGTCTTGGTAGATGACTATTCTAGATATACTTGGGTTTTATTCTTAAGTACTAAAGATGAAGCATTAAAAAAATTCATCACGTTTTCAAAAGTAATCCAAAATGAAAAAGGTTACTCTATAACTAGTGTTAGGAGTGATCATAGAACTGAATTTGAAAATCTTGGATTTACTGATTTTTGTAATTCTAATGGTATTAGTCATAATTTTTCAGTACCTAGAACCCCTCAACAAAATAGAGTTGTTGAGAGGAAAAATCGAACTTTAGAAGAAATGGCTAGAACCATGTTTTGTGAAAACAATTTGCCAAAATATTTTTGGTCGGAAGCCACAAATACCGCTTATTATGTTGTAAATCGAGTAATGATTAGGCCAATCTTAAAGAAAACTCCATATAAGATTTTCAAAAATAAAAAGCCTAACATTAGCTATTTTCATCCTTTTGGATGTAAATGTTTTGTTTTAAACAACGGTAAACACAATTTTGGCAAATTTGATGCTAAAAGTGATGAATGAATTCTTTTGGGTTATTCTTTAAATTTTAAAGCTTATCGAGTATTTAATAAAAGAACTTTAGTTGTAGAAGAGTCTATACATGTTGTTTTCGATGATAATCCCCTTCCGAGGAAGGATTCTTGTTTGAATGATGATGTAGGTATTATAAAGATAAATGACGTTGAACATGACGTTGGAGAACCATCATCAAAGGAAGAAACGAAAGATGAGGAAACTCAAGATCCTCTCGAGAATCCAACCATTGAAGAAAGAGAAGTATCTTACCCAAGAGAGT